TTTCCTTGCAGAGCCTTGTCTYRTTTATGTCTGTAAAAATCTGGAATAATTTCMCATAAAGCCAAAGGAGTTTCTGCAGAATTGGGTGGATTTAAGCAAAATTTGTTTGGAAATTTGAATTTACACTTCCTGGGTAAGTAAAGAACGAAATTATTTTTAAATATTTATCCTTGGACATAATTGCAATAAAACCATTTACCTGTCCTTAATTAATATTTTTTGAATAATTCAAACCCTGTTTTAATTGATTGAATAATGGTGGCAGATGAACGTAGTGCTTGAAAAATTTACCACACTCAGGTTAGAGATTTTCCCTGACTTTTCAAATCACTATTCTRCAATTTTCAAATAACTTTTAGAAAATCTCATTAAATAATATTTTGAGATTAATCCATATGCTGTGAGTATCTGAAGAAAAATACTGACGTTCTGAAGTAAATAGGTATTAATTAATTAATTTTATTATTCATCTGAAAATAGGTGCTTTATACAACTATTTTAGCAGTAACTGTCTTTAGATGAGAATTWAGTACTATAAACTTATAAAAGTTAAATATTGAGGAATATTGAGTAGTATAAACTAAAAAATTGAATAAATTCAATGAAATCTCACAGTGTCTTTAAGAAAAAGTCTCTTTAATGGTTTCTCTATTAATGTCTGTTCTTGCAATCCTCCCAAATGACGCCAACTGTGATATTTCTATTCGTAGTGGATGTCAAAGAGATTCAATATTTGAAAGTTCAGCAGGCCTGGGATGAGTAAGCTGAAAATGGCATTTAATATATTGTATATGTGCTATACAAGGTGTGAGGGAGGATTTGAGCAATCCTATATTGAAGGATAGAACCACATGAAAGTAGGATGAGAGAATTTGGGTTTCTTTTCTTTCTTACTTTTTTTTTTTAAATTTTTTTTTCCTGTTGTTTTTCCCCGAGAGGAAAATATTCTGCATCCATTTTTTTAGCACCAGATTTATCATTTCAACTTTTCCAGAGCATTTTAGGCAAACAGCTTTGCAAAGCAGGAGCCCCTGATAAGCAGGTTAAAAGCTGTAAGCGTTAGGGACAGCCAGTGCCTTTGTAGGACCAGACACCTCTTTGGTTAATGGATTAAAACATTGGCTTATGAATGATGGAACACTGAGGACAAGTGAGTTCCCCTTGCTCTGAATGGATGGAAGGTAATTTATGGCTTTTATTTTTTAAGTCTCTTTTCTCCACTCAAAAAAACTTAAACCTGTTTTTCCTGCCCAGTTCATGCTCCTGACATGAACCACGGGAGCACTGCTTTGCTTTCACCTCTTTCTGCTACACTTTGGAGACTAATYTGCAAAACCTGACAAGAACTGCTAAAACTAATCCTAAAATGAGCAATTCATGCAATTGGGGTTGGAAAAGGCCACTTGGATCCTTGAATCCAACCAGTAAGCCAGCAGAGTTCATCCCTAAACTCTGTCCCTAAACACCACATCCACAGGTCTTTGAAATCTGTCCAGGGCTGGTGGCTCAATTAATGGATAGTTTTCTAAATTGTGTGAATGAAATGTGAGTGTTTTGGAATCTCCCTCCAAAAAACCCTCAAAAAACAAACAAACAACTCCTACCAAACAACCAGAAGGCTCCACTCCTGCAGTGACTGCCATGGCAGCAAAGGCAGATGGGGCTCTCCTGAATTTGCCCTGAAAATCCTTTGGCCAAGCCAAAAATGAGGCTAAACCATGGTGACAACAGAATAAAAACAATGAGGTGAGTACCCTAATCAACACCCTAATCAGGGAACTTCCAAATCGTCAGGTGAAAACCCCTGTGCCCATTTCTTCAGTAACACTAAGAGATCTAAGGCTCCTCTGTATTTTAAACATTGCTGTATTTTAAAGCAATCTTCCTTGTAAGAGCTCCAAAATATTTTCTAAAATCTCTTTTTTAACAAGGTGGCTGTTACAAGGCAACTAAATAACTTGCCCCGAGCTCTGCATGAAATCTGAGGCAAAGCTGGGAAGGAATGACTGTTGCCTGGCTGTTGTTGCACTGGGAAATTTATTTATGGCTTTGTTTATCTCCACTGCTGTGCCTGGCTCCACTCCTTGTACTGACTGTTTCCTTCTAGGTCCTGACCTGCCCACCATGGKGGAAATGCAATGCCTTTCAAAGGCACTGGGCTTTGCTTTTCTCAACAAATAATCACGTTAGTGAGCTTGGGATGGAGTAATCACACCAGAACATGCCACAGCACATCAGCCCAGGTCTGCCATGGAGGGGTTAAGCAGCGAGGTGCAAAGCAGACACAGTCAACTGGAAGTCAAAGAGAAGGATCTTCTTTCAGTTCCACTTATTTTTTTTTTTTTTTAAAAGTGTATTGAATTTTTCCAGTATCCACAGAAAGGATTTTTTTAAAGCAACTCTGCATTGACTTCAGTGAAGCGACCAGGTATGGCTGAGGGCAGATCTCAGCTCACATGGGATTCCTTAGTCCAGTGGTTTCCATCCTTTTTGGATTTTGTCCATCCAAGGGATCTGCAAGTTCCAATAGTGTGAATTTAAACCAAAAGATAAGRATTTTGGTTTTGATACCCATGGTCTTGGACTGTGGACCATCACCAGCTTCAGGTCAGGGCTCATAAACCACTGGACTAACGGTATCCCAAACTGTGGCTTTGGTTCAGCAGAATAAACAGTACAGAAAGGCAGGAGGATAAAAACTAAAAGAGTTGCACCTTGGGTGCCTCGTGAGACTCAGACAATAGTAATTTCACAGAAACAGAGATAAATCAGGTAAAACTCAGACCCAGGGAGCAGGTGAGCCAGGAAGCAGACACAGTATCTATTTCCTGTTGTGAGAGCAGTAATGTTGTCCTCTTGGTGAAGTTACAGGTAATCCCATTTTCACAAACAGGAAGGATTGTGAGGATGGAAAGAGATAGCCTTCACGAGATCCATCCGTCCTCCAGTTCTGTGCCAGATGAACCTGATTTGCCCCAGGCAGATCAAGGCTGGTTATTGAGTCTCAAGAAAGCAACAAATTCCCTCCTCGGTCAAGGGCATTGTGCCAAATCCATCCYTGGTGCAATTCTGCTCAGGACAATCCTCTTGCTCCATGGATGAGCCTATTTCCTCCACTGGCCTGGAGCAGCTCTCCCTCTGTTTCTCCCTGGAGATAACTCAGGGATCTATTTTCTGCCCTATTACCAAGCCCAAGCAATTGCACATCTATTTAATAACATTTCTGAAGCTTCCAGGCAAACTCCAATTAYATTTCTTCAACCAAGCTCACAATTTTTTTTTTKKTTTAGGATTACAGGAATAACAGCAGATGAGTAATCTGGGGCTGAACATACACATTTGCAACCCTAAAAGCACTCCCAACACTTTTCACAACCCTTGCTTGCTTTTATAACRTCTGCCTGAAAGGAACTTCATCAAGACACACCACCCCAGGGATTTGTTTGTGCTCCTCTACATCCTGCACACAACTTACTTTTCTCTCTCTGGGGCATAGAAAAGAAAAAGCTTTAAAGTACTTGAAGCTTTATTTGGCTGAAAAAAATTATAGTGTTTCTACACTCATACCATCCTCCCTCTGATGCTTTTTGATGGGACTCTGGGAAAGGACTAAAAGGACTAAATACGTTAAAAATGAAGTCAAGAAAGTCCATAGATCAGGAATCTAATCTTAATAACTTATTGTGGCTGAATCTTTTCTATGTAATAGCTCAACATTTGTGTCTTCAGAGGGCTGGCCCAAAGGCCGAGCCAGACCAGGGCCCTRTCTCAGACAGAGCCAACATCAGAGTGCTGTAGAAAATGATGAAAAATTGAGTGGATGATCATTTTTCCCTGGACGTTTTTCCAGGCTCCAGCATTTTCTGCCCAGCACCTTAATGAGTCAGAATGTCACCTCTTAGGGGATGTCGATAATGTCAATAATGCCCTTTTAAACACACACTTGAACTCCTGTTATTACCACAAGGCARTGTGGCAACACCAAAGATGGGGAAAGAAGATCCTACAGCTGTTGGTAAAATTCTGGCTTTTGCTGGCCATGTCTCCACCAGCCACATTTGGGAGAGCCTGTGAAACCAAGGTCTGCCAGCATGGAACGGCCTGTGCCTGGCCTGGTCCTCTCTCTCACCCCCCAGATCTGTTCCTTAGCTATCAAAGGTGGTCCCTTGGCTGTGTCACCCCCTGAGCCACCCCTGGGAACTGCTCAAGAGACACAGGACTGGCTGGGCCAGGCTCAGCCGGACAAGGACACTTGTAAGAGGCACAAAGAACGCATCCCTACTCCAGGAAATGCTCCCTAGGGAGATGTAGCCACGGATTTAAACTGGGCTGGGATGGGTTTASAGCAGGCACTAACACACCCCATGTGGAAATCCCTTGGGTAAACAGGGAACTTTGGGCAGTAATGTCTAAAGTTATTAAGAAAGAGATGTGGTTTTGGATGGATCTAAAATCAATTCTTATCACCCTAGCAATCCAGGAGAAATTGGCAGACAAAAAAGGAACAGACTCCATGACTATCCTTGAACAATCCTAAATAATGGATGAGCTAAACATCAATCTGGACACCGTTCTGCTTTCCCAGTCATTCCCCATTTCTTTCAGTGACATTTCAGGAATAATCACAATATGTCTCTACCTTTACTTAGTGGCCCCTGTAACACTTCTGCCAGGCTGACACACATTTTCAAGTATTCCAACAATAGAAAACTTTTTTTTTTTTTTTTTGCACTAGCAATATTGTGACAAACCCTCCATTTGCTCCTCCTTTTTCATATAATGCCTTTAGGAGCATTATATGAGGTTGATTTGCCAGGCTTGGAAATCAACAGATGGTGATGGGCACAGAGGCGAGCTGCCCTGTGCCCATGCACATCTCCAGAGACGTACAGGTACRTGGACACCAACAACCAACATGGATAAGATGGCAAAGATACAGGATCCTCAGAGGTTTTAGGGCAGCTCGCTGGCGTACRTACGGAGCTGGGCAAGGGTCGTACCTTCAATGGTGATGGCCTGGTCTCCTCTCCTCTCCTGGGTCAGGGCTGCRGCGCTGTGGTGGTAAAGCTCTGCTCCGCTTTTGGCTGACCCTAATCTGTTCATCAGCTGCAGAGAACCGTGCAGGGCCAGGTGAAACATAGAATGTTTGGTCATGATAAAACCCTGCCCATGCTACCTTGAAAATTCAGTGCCAACAGAAATGGGGAAGGCGTGACCCCAGCTCTAAGCTGGAGTCCGAACAGACACTTTGCTGCTTAATGCAGTTTATGGTGTTTTACCAAAAATTACTCACACAGGCAAGTTACAGCATGCCAGAAAACTCAATTATTTACATAAACATTTGCAGTTTGCTGTGCAGCCTGTGGCTCGAGCCTGGTGTAACTGTCTGCAACAGGAACAAATTATTGCTGTTCATCTTTAATGGTCATTAAAGAGCAGKTTTTTTGTTAATCATCCAATAATTACTGAGTTTTACTCAGGCAAGGGAATACTGGGCCTTGGGATCTTAGTCTTGGCAAATGCAAGGTAGTCTGATTTTGCTTAAATTCCAGTAGAATTCTTTAAARTACAYCAAACTTCCTAAATATTTCTCCAARCWGAACCATTTATCATGGAGCAGCTGACCCATGCTAGTTTCCTAAACCAAGACTTTTTATTGCCAAGCCCTCAGAGCTAATTACTGCTTTATTACAATGACTGCATAGACTATGACTAATTTTCACAAAATATTTTACATGTTTTAATTTATTAGATATTTCTATGTATGCTTGTTGAACCAGAATTTCAGTGTTTTATCCTTCTTTTTAGACTTAATTTCTTTTTTTTGGCTTTGGACAGTTTCTTAGTAGCAGCATGAATCTGCCACAATTTAGACAGTCCAGAAAAAAAAAAGTCCCATCAGAGTGGTCCCAAATTTTGTAAGAGTCTCCTCCGGATCTGAGTTTAAGCTCAGAATGAGCTCCATCGATTCTTACTTGTACCAGGAAACTCTCAGAGGAGAATATTGTGAAGTTTTTGGACATTCACAATCTAGATCTAGTTCAGCCTGACTTTCTATAAGGTTTTATGAGCAATTACTCAGCCATGGGTCTCTCCCAGCAAAATGAATTCTCCCGCCTATATAATTTCAGAAATTTAAATCTCTCCGAACTTACCTCACATTCGTAGTGCCCCATATCTTCATTGGAAGGGTCCTTGACCACCAGGACTACGATGCCACTCCTTGGTTCATTGAAAGTCTGGTATTTATTGGTGTCCTTCAGCAGCACCCCATCTTTGTACCACCTGTTAGTGGAAAACACGGAAAATAAGCCAGAAAAAAATTATTCAGTGTTTAGAGATCCCCATCTCACTGATCCAGCTATCAAATAACTCCAGAGTTAATCCTTAGACAAACATTTGGATCCCGGAAGGGAGGTCTGCAGGTGGGTAAGAAACACCTGGATGTTAAACTGTAAAGGTCTAGGAGATTCTTCTCAAGAAATCTCATCAGTCAGTGCTGGAAAAGGACTTTAAATGATGACAAGATTTGCTGAGCTTTTGGTCTGAATAGCCCAGACTGTTCGCTGATAAAATCAAGTCAGGTGTAAGGCAGAGAGGATAAAGAAATGAAAAAAAAATTATAAAATGTCAGGTGGTCAAGGGCTTTAGATCAGACACAGTCCTACTCTGGGGCTATCTGTAGATRTTTCTTTTCAAATTCTAGCTAGAATTAATTGCTGAGAATCACAGGAGTGTTTGGATCAGGAAAAGCCAGCACTGGGATGGGCTTAAGATGGAAGACACTGTAAAGAAAGGGTCATAAACTCAAAATTACTTCTCTGACCATGCAGAATGGGAAACCAGGATTTGTTGCCATGTGAGTTGTAGGACTGACCTGATCTGGGGCCGAGGTGCTCCTTCCACAGTGCAGGTGAACTGGACATCTTCACCCTCGACGAGATAAGCATTTCTGACCTTGTTCACAAACCGTGGGGGCACTGCAGAAAGCAAGGGCAAATGTGACTGCTAGCTGGAAATCCAAACAGATAGGAAGGATGTATCCCTGCCCAGATAATTCTTATGGTGTCTAAAGGATATCAGAGACCAATTTTTCTTGTCTAAGAACAGCTGCCTGCACCTGTATATAATTTTTTTTTAAAAAAAATTAATTATTCAATATATGTTATACAGAAATTCTGCAATGTCTTAATATTTGTAACATCATAGAAACACAGAATCATTCAGGTTAGAAAAGACCTCTAAGATCATTGAGTACAACCATTAACCCAGCACTGCTAAGCCAACAATAAACCTCATCTCCATGTGCCACATCTCCATGTTTTTTGAACACTTCCAGGGATGGGGACTCCACCAGTTCCTTGAGAAGTTTGTTCCAGTGCTTGACCACACTTCTGGTGAAGGAAGTTGCCCTGATATCCAACCTCACCCTCCCCTGGCCCAGCCTGAGGCCRTTCCCTCTCCTCCTGTCCCTGTTCCCTGGAGCAGAGCCCAACCCCCCCGGCTGTCCCCTCCTGTCAGAGAGTTGTGCAGAGCCACAAGGTCCCCCTGATCCCTCTTTTCTCCAGGCTGAGCCCCTTTCCCAGCTCCCTCAGCCGCTCCTGGGGCTCCAGACCTTTCCCCTGCTCCGTTCCCTTCCCTGGACTTGCGCCAGCCCCTCAATGTCCTTCTGGCCATGAGAGGCCCAAACTGATCCCCAGGACTGGAGGAGCCTCAGCAGTGCCCAGCAGAAGGGATGGCCACTGCCCTGGTCCTGCTGGCCACACTGGCTGGTGGCTGGTCCAAGTTTAAGGTATTGCASAGCAGACCCCTATAAAACACTGCCTCTGAGCAGGACCTCACCTTGAACAAGGATCTTCCCCAGGGTACTGGCATTCCCAGCAGGACTGGAAGCAAAGCACAGGTACTGTCCTGTGTCAGCCCCTGTCAGGTTGTCCAAGATCAACGTGCAGGACCCATCAGGATCTTCAATTATRATGTGATGGGGATCCACCTCCACGGGCTTTCCATCTGAAAGAGAGAAATTATTTCCTTCAGAATAGCTTGCTATGAATTTTCTCTTAGGAATTTCATATAGCTAATCATCTTGAGAGGACTGAGAGCTCTAATTTGCTTYATTGCAGGTGTTGGTAGTTGAGGAATGAGCTCCTCATCTTCATCCAGCTCTCAGCAAAGCATCATCCAGGCAAAGAACTGCTGAAGGATCTCCTACATGACCAATCCTCATTTAAAAGTGGAATTACCTCAGAGTACATTCTGGAATGCCGTGGTTCTGCTTTTCCACCCAAAGAAGTACACCCAAAGTGCCCAAAACCACAGTCTCTAGACTCAGGTATGTCTGGGTGATCAGCTCTTGGATCACCCACTGATCGATTGTCACATCAATATGGACAGGGAGCGAGTTTGGAGGGTGCATTTCCCKCCCTGCTGTACCTTTGTACCAGCTGATGGATGGCTTGGGAGCTCCTGWCACCTTGCAGGCCAGCTTGACCGTCTCTCCCAGCTCAGCTGTGCAGTCTGCCAGTTCTTCCTCAAAGTCTGGAGGGACTGGAACATCAGAGGAAGCGAGTTAGTCTGGAGGAGGGGGCTCTGGCCATGGGGTGGCTGCTGCTAAGTGAAATAAGAATAATATTTGTATATCTGTGAGGTTCAGAATGGAARGAACTGAACAGGAATTTTTAGCAGACTCAAGACTTTACAGGTGACATGTGCTCTTTGCTTGTCTCAGACTGAATTCCATCTGTCAAATGTCTGTTGTTGGCTACAAATTTAGGCCATATAAAAAATAAAAAGGATTTTTTTGCTGATCTGGAATTATTTTAGACCATGATTTAATAAGCACATCCATTATTCAGACATCACACAGCTGTCGCTGTTAAGTGTTCATTTCTTCAAATACAATGCACCCTGGATATCCAAACTAATATTCTGCTGGTGCCCATGCAATAAAATCAGTGCTGTCATCARATCATAGAATCATGGARTGATTTGGGTTGGAAGGACCTTAAAGATCATCTCATTCCAACCCCTGACATGGGCAGGGACACCTTCYMYTRTCCCASGTTACTCCAARCCCCATCCAGCCTGGCCTTGGATATTTCCAGGGATGGGGCATTMAYARCTTTGGGCACCCTGTTCCTTTATTGAGTGACTTTTATTTTAACTCATTGCTATCATATGAAACAAAATTACTCTGTTACTCTTSCTCTTTAAAACACCTCACTAAAGGCATAAAAATGAAATGCCCAGACTTGTTTTCAGTGCATATGGACTAAATCCAACCCTGTTCTGCCAAATATTGTTATGCTGTAGAGGACACCATTTGTAGCTCATGCCTGGAAAGTAAAGATCCAATATCCCTGCTGATAAATTTTGGGGACTGAAAACTGGTGGAATMTCAAAWGRCACTGAGGATGATGAAGCCTGAATRARMCAGAYAAGATTCCAAAKCAAACCCAAGTGYAAAAATACACCAGCGTAAGGCAKGAGTTGMGTATAGGGTCTRGAACACAGAGGAGTCACAGGRGCATTTTCACTGGGGTGTGTAGGACTATGGATCAGGGCACAACCCCAACTCTTCCTCTTTCCTCTTTTTTGTATTGGAGACCTGACAGCTGGGCAGAGCACTGCAGGTGGGATCTCACAAGAGCAGAGCAAAGGGGACAAATCACTCCCTCAACCTCCTGCCCTCACTTAACGGCCATAAACAGCTTCTCTCCCTCTTTTGCTAATTTCCTAGGCCAAGGAGACCACCAAAAAAAACCAAAGCTAGGAGGTTTGGGCTGCCTTGTGCTGCACTTACTCCAGAGGGGCTCGCTGATGCGCTGCTGGATGCCCAGGATCTCCTTCACCCACGAGTTCTTGATGTTCACGGTTCGTGCCTGCAGGAGGTACTTGCGGACCAGATCCTCCCGCTCGTGCCAGATCTCAAAGGCTCGGTCATCCCCTTCCACCAGGTCATTCACGTCTATGTTGTTCAGCTGAGTGACAGAAAGTCAACACAAATCCCGTGTTTTTAGCAATTCCCAACGGCAAAAAGGGGTAATTTGCACTTCATCCAAAGATTTTTCAAATTGTGCGAGCAGCACGACACACCATTGGTTGAGCAGCAATCAGAACTACTCTGAGAGTTGTTTTCCCCACAATACTTGACTTTCTGGTTACCACACTGGCATTTTCCTGGGGATTAATTTTTCAGGAAAACAATGTCCAGCATTAAAAGATGTCCCAAGGGTGGAACACRGTGCCCCTATAGCACTGGGTCCAGGAACAGCACAATTTGGGGCAATGTGGGAAAAAATAGAGAGCAGGCAATCTCTGGACAAAACATGGAAATGTTTCCATTTCATTTTTCTTGGAAAATAAAACCTGCCTATGAATATCAGTGAGGACAGAGATAAGGAATTGCAGAAGGCCCTGACTGGGCTTGGTCAAAACTCCATGTTTTTTTGGTTGGTTGGTTGGTTTTTATAGGAGTTGAGCATCTTCTGCCTTGTGAAAACTCTTTCCTTTGTTTCTGGCTGATTTAACTCTGAATGTCTGATGATGAGTTGGTCAAATCCTCTGAATATTCCCATTTTCCATAAACAAGAATTGGTGTCTGAAAAGGACATAACCAGCGGARAGAACCTCATGGAATTTAGCAAATAAGATTTCTTCCAGTTTACTCCCTATTTTACAGACTGCCAAAACCAGACATTTACAAATGCAAGAAAATACTGTAGTCAGCAGAATACACATCAATATAATATATTTATGCTGTTAATTAAATGAGGGAACAGAGATAAATAAATGCTTGTATTTGTAATCTCCTTACAGCTTGGGAAAAGTCCAYCCAGGCTCCTTGATATTTTCTGTCAAGTTTCTGACATTAATACCTTAACAAAGATATTTTGGGATACATGTAGACTCTACTTGTGCTTCAAAGGCTTTTTGAAGCAAAGGGATAGCTCAGAAGGATTAGAGGAATGTCAAGATGGGATATAAAAGTAAAGCTCTAATTGACAGAGGAATTCTCTAGGTGAGGACAAAGCAATCAGACCTTCATGATGTTCTTGAAGATGTAGCTGTAGGTGTCTGTCTTTGTGTCTCGCTTTGGTTTGCAGATCACAATATAATTTTTGAAGAGGAAAACATGTCTTTTGTGYCCTTTCCATGCCATTCGAGCTCCTGGAGCTCCTTCCCACACAATGAAGTGGCCCTGATAGGAAAAGGAAGGAAGAGTATGCAGTGATACATCTGGAATAATTACCACGGTTTTGTCTCACCATCATTTTTCAGTGCACAGATGACAAATGTTTCCTGTTGCATCATCCCCTGACAAGTCTCTGGTTTATTAAACCACAGCAGATGGTTTTTAATGCTAAAGGTGACTCATCAGACAGGGGCACAGCCAGTGGTTTGCACTGCATTGTCCTTTAAATGGTATTTGTTACCAGAAAAATAAAAAAAACAGGTAGAAACAGTTTTGGAAATATTAAAGAAAAATTGCAYTTTGTGTGTTACACAGACACTTTATATGGTGATTTGGTCACCTTCACCAGAGCAGGAMATTCATTTCACACACCTTCAGACACAGAGGGTGAGAGGGGTTCCCCCTCACCATCTCTAGGGAGAAGTAAAGACTCCAGGGGTAGAATTGGACACTTTTTTGGATGKGGGGAGATGAATGCCCACCACAGAATCATTGTAATTTAGCTTTACAACTCCATTCATACACTCTGATTCCCATGGMAAATATTGCATACAGACACATTAAATGATTTGCCTGGTATGACACAGTAAATCTAAAAAGAAACAGGAATTTGAGTGAGGGTGTTGGAAGTTCTAGACTGAAGTGTGCAAATAGCTGGGTCCTCTAAAAAAAACCACACATTTGGTTCATGGGATAGAGCTGGGGGAGCACATGGATCTGCTGATGCCAGCAACTTGAGGAGCTCCTCTGTGCTGCTTCCCAGTAATAAGAGAGGAGTTAAAACCTTTCAAAATCATGTGAAGGCCCAGAACAATTAAATTCCTGTTTGATAAGCAGGAATAAATAGGCAATAATAGGAATAAAAAGCCAAATAACTGCATTTTGTGTGAATTACTCCATGAATATCCATGCWCTGATGTTTCAAACCATAGTCAAGCCAGAACACCCAAATTGGACAGCAATAGGTGAAATGAGCAAATCATCTCTTTCAGTTTCAATTTCTAAAGGATTTTCTTTGGGAATTAAGGCTCCTTAGAAAGCAGTGAAGGCACTCAGGGCACTGAGTGGGAAATTGCAGTTACCTGCCGGATGGGCTCCCCCAGGCTTTCCAAAGTCCCYGGATAATTCTCAATGAGGGACACGTGGAGGTTGTTCTCTGCTCTTCGTGTCAGGGCAGACACAATGGCATAGGCCTGCTCCAGCAAAGTGCAGTTTTGGCTGTTTCTGGCCTTGTTTCGGATTAATTCCTGTAGGCGAATGAAGAAAAGATTAGTGGGCAATCAGAATACAAAAAAAAATTCCTTCACAGCTGAAGAGTTTCCCAATATCTGCTCTTGCTCTTTCATCTGAGCAACTTTTATCCCATTTTTTCACCACATGCTTTTCCAGTAATAACGTGTGTCCCTTCCTACCTACTCTACAGACTTGAAGACAAACCAGTTTGGCTTTTTCTTACATCAGTTGATATTAAACAAAAGTAAAGTCGAAACAAGCACCAGATATTCATCGGTGACTAAAAGGCAAAAATTCCAAAGTGATCCTAAATGTACCCTTTGCATTTTTCTTCTGTTTACCCTCTCAACACCAGAGGTCAAGGAATTCATGTGGCTGTGCTGAACTGAGTGGATATTAGGCTAATAAAAAGAGAGGTTGGAAAAAATGTGAAATGGCAGTTTTCCTTTTCTTCTCACATTTGTTCCTGTCCCTCTCTTTCAGCAATGAAGGCAGRGAAAATGCCTTTACTATTCTGCAAAAGTCTTAAAAACTTCAGTGTTTGTGTTCAAATGTTCAAGAATGTGTTCAAATGTTCTTCAAACTATTCAAATTATTAATTTATAGAAYACTACAATACAGAAATATTTTGGCATGATTATGTCCTTCCTGGATATCCCAGTGCTATTTCCCATGAAAATACTGTTTAAAATGCTACTCTGAAACGTTTGCTTGTGGTCTGTAACAATAGAACAGATGGAAGCTTGAAAGATGAAATATTTCATGGTAGTAAAATGAGGAAAAGCTTTTCAGAAAGCAAAAAATTCATCTTACCATAACGTCAGCATAAAAGACAAGGAAAAAAGTGCTAAGTCAATATCTTAGACATTGGAAACTGCTTATTTTTGTAACATAAATGATTTGAAGCAAATTCATACCTGTCATCCACGTATTCAAATATTGTATTATACAGATACTTTTTACATATATTTTTATACATATATTTAAAGATAAAGCTAATTGAAACTTAATGGGGTTGGATTCTGTGAACCACCTGGATTTACATTTACAAAAGTATTTAGAGAACACCAGCACTGGTGATGATTAATCTCTTATTTACGCAAGCGGTTTTCAATTGTAGTTGCATCAGAAAGAAGCCAAGAAATCAGAAACAAAACTAAAATCTTCTTCTACACAAGCTGCACAGAGCAGAACAGAAAGCCTGTAATAACATCTCTTTACCTTGATTATGGTCTGGTACTGCTGGATCCTGATTATGGGTTTTTCCAGGTAGTGCTGCAGTGGTGGGATGAGTGGCTGTGAGGGATCTTCATTAGTTACAAATTCATCTGTGTATCTCTGAAAAAAATATGTGGAATAATGAGGAAAGGCTGTCATAAAGAGCATTAGAAAAAAATCTGAGCTGCTGGAGCAGAGAAACAGGATTTAGTTATCTATATTTATGATTTTTGTGGGTTCTCTTGGTCTTTCAATGTGGTGGTACTTAAAACATCCCTTAATTACAATTACATAAGCGCAGCCATGCTCATATCTATCTTTATAAAATTAATAAATGCATAAGCTCATGTAAATACATTCCCAGATTGATTATATCTACCAAGAAGAGTTAGATAATGAACCAGAAGTTACTATATTTAGCAAAAGATATTAAAAATCCTTTTGAGAACCCAATTTATGATTAATAACTCCATTCCTTGACGCAGTGGGTTTCAGGGTGAATTTTCCACGGGTGCTTTGGCTCCTGCCTTACCTTGTAGAAATCCTGGATGGCTTTGCTGACCACAATGGACTCGGCCTGGACCCTTCCCACCAGGTACTGGATGTACCTGTTAAACTCAGCCTCGTGCTTGATGAAGCACATGGCCACATCATCGTCGGTGTCACAGCTCTGCAGGCTCCGGAGGAAGACACTGCAGGGACACAGGGAAAGGGCAGCTGAGGAGAAGGAGACGGAACGAGGCTAAAACATGGTCCCAGMAGCCAGAATTTGGGTCAGGAGGTGTCAGGTTAACACAGGTTAAGGGAAATGATGGGGGAAATAAGGGATGTGGCCACATTAGCATTAAACTTCATCCAGCATGACGGTATCCCTCTTGGCTGGAATGTGTGTGTAGGGACTGAGGACAAGGGCCTGGAGGGACACAACAGTGGGAATGGCTTCAGACTGACAGAGGGCACGGTTAGATGGGATATTGGGAAGGAATTGTTCCCTGTGAGGGTGGGGAGGCCYTGGCACAGGRTGCCCAGAGCAGCTGTGGCTACCCCTGGATCCCTGGCAGTGTCCAAGACCAGGTGGGACGGGGCTTGGAGCATTCTGGGACAGTGGGAGGTGTCCTGGAATTTATGGATGCTGCCATCAGTTTTACATGAACAAATATCTCTATTTGTTGAATATTGAAGACACCACTGAAGTACCTGTAAGACCTTGCTGCCTTCTTATAATAATTCACTGTTTCTCAGTTAAATTCAATTAAAAGAGTAAGAAATAAGCTGGACACGTGAATCCTTGAAGCTCTGAAGGGAATTATGGAAGTCCCAAAAGATTTAAGCCATGCCATCATTTATCCTCCTGAGAGGACCATCAATTCCCTTGCACCTCAGCATTGCCAGTGCTCCACATTATTATTATTATTATTAATAATAATAATAATAATAATAATAATAATAATAATAATAATAATAATAATAATAATTATTATTATTATTATTATTATTATTATTATTATTATTATTATTATTATCATCATCATCATCATCACCATCATGATAATGTGGCTCTGACATCTTGTATGTGAGCCACTCTTTGGTCTCAAAAGCACCTGGGAATGCCCACCTGGAATGGAAGCGACCAATGTCATCAATATTCCTGAAGATGGTGGATTTCTGACTGGCAACAGCTCCAGGGATGTTGGGGCAGGTCTCAGTGTACCTAAGGTGATGAGTCTGGAGGAAGTGTAAATCCTGAATGTAATCCTCCTCTGAGATCAACAGCTCCTGAATGAGAACACTGAAGGGGAGACAGAGGGGCAGAAAAAAATCACAGAAAAATCATCACAATTATCCTTGAGAGGGTTTTAGGCTGTAGAGAAGAGATTTATGATCAGAGGAATATTCTGGGGTGTGTTGAAAGATTCCCCTCTGGAGATGGATGGATGGATGGA